GGGGGGGGGGTGATGGTGATGGCGATGGTGATGGTGATGGTGATGGTGATGCTGTCTTGTATCAGCTGTCCCACTATATCTCGACGGTCTTGAGGGTGTGGCCGAGGCCGGCGCAAATGCTGAAAGGAGCCGAAATCAGCAACGCTTGCTTTGCGGATGGAAGGATCGAGGTGATGATGCAAGACTCGAGTGCGAGTGCGAGTGCGAGTGCGAGTGCGAGTGCGAGTGCGTGCGCGTGTGCGAGTGCTTGGAGCGCGCCGCCCCGTCTCGAGTCGCAAATCTCACCTCACGCACAACGAGTCAAGAGTCGCCCGGCCGAGTTGAACTTCCACTCACACTCGCCAGTCACGTCACGAATCGCAATCGCATTCACGAACGCACCCAACCCCTTCAAAGTCATTCACCATCCAATTCACTCACATTCACCATTCCCCGCACCCACACGCTTGACTGACTCACTACTTGACTGAATACGCATTTACGCGCGCATCTGCATGCATGGCCCAAGGAGGATGAGACTTTGAAACGCAACACCCTCCGCCTCGCGCCGGCAAGCAACACGTATACCGGTACCCAACCAACACGCGCGCGTGCGCGTAACGGGGTCGACGCGACTGTATGAATCGTCACGTGATCGTAAATTCATGCTGGCTGCTCCCCGTCGTCCCGTGCCGCCGTTCGCACACGGGCGGGGGTTTCTTGCAGATCCGAAATCCACGTGATTGATGCACTACTCCAAGACTTGATGAGATTTGGTTTTGACTCTTGACTCACAACTCTTGACTGACTCGATAGCATGCCACGTATGCGCTGACTGGTGACGCGCACTTCGTTGCCCAGCACTCTCACTCTCACTCGACCATCACGCACTCACGCACTCGCGACTCGCTCTTGAACGTTTTCACGTTCGGACGCCTTGCGCAACGTAACAATAACAAGATTGCACATTGCACGCGCTGCTTGCACGCCTGCCAAACCTTGCTTCGAGGAGCGGCACATCACACTCTTGACTTCTTTCATTCCGCATCTTGACGCCATCCTCCGATTCGACCTCTTTCGCGCGCGCTGACAATCAAGGGGACGACCCGTGACTCCCCTTTTTTACGTTGGAAGAATAAAGGCGCGCGCTTGGTGGCTCGATCGATGCCAATCCGCTGCCCGCCATCTTCTTTGGCATTCGCGCGCACTGCACAACACATCCTCCCGCTGATCGAGCTGCCATCACCGCCATCCTCCTCGACCATCCATTCGCACTCGCACTTTTCAGCATCAAGCAGCCTCACCACCAATCGGATCGTACATCCCAACTCTCCTCTTCTTGCCTACAATTCACCTCCTCGCACAATGTCCACGCAAGCAGCCTCCACCTCCTCCTCCACCACCACCACCACCTCCTCCACCAGCCCCATCTCCGCTGCTACTGCTCCCAACCAATCCCGCACCCGCAACCGCAGCTCGTCGGAAGAAACGCGAAATGCAGCAGCAGCAGCAGCAGCAGCAGCGCAAGACAGATCTTACGCCTCCTCCATACGCGCGCTCAACACTTTGCAATCCAATGCGGCAGTCATCGAAGCGATTCGAAAGAGCGGCGGCAAGATGAACGAGTTGGCTATACCGGAGATGCAAGAGTATTGGAAGAGGTTGGGGTATGAGGTGAGTGGGCGCGCGGGGGGGGGAAAGGGGGGGGGGGGGGGGGAATGAGATGAATTGGCAAGAGGCTCAGATCGCTCGCATCAAGTCGGTGTCATTGGCGCGGCTGGAGAGAGGACATTGACGCGGCTGCTGATGCATTCGATTCAAGTTGGCGTTCTGGGACGGGGAGCAAGCGCGAATAGGCGGATGGAAGAGGTGAATGGAACAGCGCACCCCCGCGCACCCCCGCTCACCCCGTCCACCCCTTATCCCACCGCTCTCTTCTCTCAGCTGGAAGATCTGAACAAGCTCAATGTGATCCACATCACTGGCACAAAAGGCAAAGGATCCACCGCAGCATTCTGTTCCAGCTTGCTTGCCCACGCGCCGCTGTTGTCGAGCAAAGCCACCGCTCGCCCCCGCGTCGGCTTGTACACCTCCCCGCACCTTGTCTACGTGAGGGAGCGCATACGCATAGACGGTGTGCCCATTCAAGAGGAACTCTTTGCCAAGTACTTTTGGCAAGTGTGGGACAAGCTGGGACAGAATGATCAGGTGAGCTTGCGTTGCGGCAATTACCCCGACTCGGAGCAGAGAGGCATGCTCTGCAAGGAGAACTCACGCGCCCCCCCAACCCCCACCCCCTTCACGTACATGCGCCTCCCCCAGAGAGCCCATCCTGCCACACCGCTGCGTCCGGTCTACTTTCGATACCTGACTCTGCTCGCCATGCACATCTTTCTGCAAGAAGGCGTAGGCGCCACGATCCTCGAGGTGGGTATAGGTGGCACGTACGACAGCACAAACATCGTGCCTCGACCCATCGCATGCGGTATTTCCAGCTTGGGCTTGGATCATACAGCTCTGCTAGGCAATACTTTGCCAGAGATCGCTAGGCACAAGGCGGGCATCTTCAAGAAGGACGTTGGGGCAGTTTCGGTCTGGCAGCCCGAGGATGCCGCAAAGGTGGTAGAGCAGACGGCTGCAGAGGTGCAGGTGAGGCAGAGCGAGCGAGCGAGCGAGCGCCATGGAACCCGCATGGGCTTTCACAGACTGACAACGCATGATTTGGCGCCCGGGAACGCGCGCAGACCAGATCATTTGTAGCGCTGCCTCGAGATGCGCCCCAGCAAGTCCGCTCCATCGCCTTGGGTCTGCCAGGTCTGCATCAGAGCACCAATGCCCAGCTCGCCGTAGCGCTCGTGCGCCTCTTCATCCAAGCGAGTGCACAGGATGCGATCCTGCTGCAAGAGAGGGGTTGGACATTTTCATTTGCGCCTGCTGCTGATCAGCTGAACCGACTGGATGCTCCGCTCGAGGAGTGGGAAGTTGCGGGAGTGGAACGAGCTGCGTGGCCTGGACGGTGTCAGGTCGTCCCTCCGCCTCCGGCGCCGCCTTCGAGCTCGATTTGTGATCCTCCTGCTGCATCGCAAGCCTCCTGCTGCATGCCCACCTTTTTTCTGGATGGAGCGCACACCACAGACAGTCTGAAGCTAGCCACGCGATGGTTCGTCCAAGCCTCTCGCTTTCGTGAAACGGCGGCGCATCGCCGAGCCGACGAGGTGCGAGGAGAAGAGGGAGATGGGGCAAGAGGAGAAGAAGAAGCGAAGAGATGGTATTTGGTATTCAATTGCACGCATGGACGCGACGCCAAGGAGCTGCTTGGGGCGCTGTGCGACGCGGTGCGCGAAGAGGAGGTGAGGGTCAGCTTTGACAAGGTCATCTTTTGCACCAACACCACCTACAAGGAGGGCAAGAGCAGCGGAGGTGAGTTTTGGTTGGTTGGGGACGTACACTCTGAGGCGCGAAAGCCGCTCGACTTGTTGCGAGATGGGGGCGTCGCGCGCCTGCCCACCCCTCTCGGAGTTCGTTCCTTGCTCATGCGCCCCCCCCACATTTTGGATCTGGCCCCCACCCGCACAACAGATCTTACGGCTGGAGGACTGGACGCGAAAGAGGTGGAAGCTCTGACGGTGCAGAATGAGCTCAGACGAGCCTGGTTGGACCTTCGAAGGGATTCCGCGATGCGAGCGCGAGCGGCGGTGGCGGGAGCAAAAGATGCGGCGGAAGAAGAAGAAGAAGAAGAGGAAGAAGAGATTTTGGTCTTGCCGAGCATAGAAGATGCGCTGAATGCTTGTGTTGCTGCTGCTGCTGCGCGGGGGCAAGAGAGGGGAGGAAGCGTGTTTGTTACGGGAAGCTTGCTGCTTGTGGGAGGCGTCATGGCTCATCTGCAAAAATGGGGAGCGCTGGATGAGGCGCTGAACAGTGTTGCGGGCAGATAGGGTTGGAGGGGGGAGGTGGAAGTTGAGAAAATGTCCAGAACGAATTCGGGGGTATGCCAAGCTATAGCTGGGGCAGGGACGGAAGGTGAGTGGGGGACAAGAAGATCGGGAATACGAGAAAGCGGGGGACAATGCGCTCACGCTCCGGCCCGCTGTGACGTGTGGAATAGACAGCACTAGAGATGGGGGAACTAATCGACCAGACTGGCTTTGAGGGGGGGGGGGGGGGCGCGAAATACCGTTCGTGCATACGTTCGCTGGCGCGCGCCATCCCTCGCAGGAAATGGCAAACTCTCGTCTGCAGCGTCAGCGTTCACTGTGTGGGTTGGCCCACACGAGGTGTCGTGTCCACGCTTTATCACCTTCGCAAACGCTGCCCTGCCTGCCCTCTCCCCAATTAGTTCGCGCTTGCAGCACTGGTTCATGGTTTGACGTTTGTTTTGGCCCCCTGCTTCGTCTGCTCAGCTGGTCTTGACGGGGGACATTGCGAGCATCATTTTGCACGCTGCCCTCCCAATTAGTTCGCGCTTGCAGCACTGTCATGTTATCGCATTTCTTTTGGCCCCGCTTTGTCTGCTAGCTAGTCTTGACGGGACCGCGGGGGGGGAGGAAACATCGTGAGTCACGAGTGGGGGGAAAAGCCTTGATGCGGCCTCTGATGGGGCATTAGCTACTCGTTGATCCATTTGAAGCGCCAGACGAGGCGGTCGGATACCTTGTGCGCTACGATCAGATTGACGCCCCGGCTTTGCGTTGCGTTGCGTCACCATTGAGGGGGAGGAGGGGGAGGAGAGGAGAGTGAATGGCGAGGGAAACGAATGAAATGAAAAAAAAAAAAAGGGCCAGAGTCAGACGGCGATGGGTTTGACGGGCTAAGTTGGTGCCAGGTCGAGCAGAGCAGAACAATCCCAATCAAGGAATGTTCTTGAAGCAACGCGACTCGAGTCGAGTCGGTGGATGGATGCCTTGTTGGCCCCTATCGAGTCATCATAGCGCATCATCAAAGTCGAGATCCACACTCACTTGTCCACGCACCAACAATGCATGTTGGCAAGATTAAGATCACCAATTCCGCGCGCTCTGTGGCATATCTGGTACCATCTGTTCAGCAGTCGCCAACCTTTGAGGCCTTCAGGAGGTTCAGCAACTATGGTGGACGCGCGCATCAGCACGAACGTTGGGCAAAGAAGGGCTGGGTCAGGGCCAAAGAAGAGTTGCCAGTCTCCCCTAACCCCCCTCGAGCAATGTACGTCGCGAAAAAAAAAAAAAAGCGTTCATGCATACTCACGCATGATTGTGCCAGGCGGACCCGGTTTGTAGGGTGCATTGGGCTTCCATTTTTCGCCGATGATGGCGTTGGTGGAAGTCACGAGACAGATGGAGAGCATCAAGATCTTGCTGATGTCCAAAGCAAGCATGATGACTTCTAGCACTTTTTTTTTTTCGATTTCTCTTGGCGAAGCGAAGAAATGCGTGCTGTGGTCTGGATAGAGGGAAAGAGGCTGGGCTGTCAAATGACCAGCTGGGTCGATCCAAGCCATTGCTTAAGTAAGGAATCAGATCTGATCGACAATTTTTTTTTTTCGCAATTCGGGCCGAGATATCCTGCACGGTTCAAGGCTGACTTGTCCGGCCCAGGAACATCAGCGGCGGCAGAACGCCCATCATGGAACTTGGGAGTATTTTTGCCTGCGCGCTCATCACAGGCCTGCTTGATTTGCTGGCATCACTTGGCACGGCCATTGCATTGCCTGCTGTCCTCGGGCCGGGGCAGTGGCGTATTCTTGCGCAGACTCTCAGCTCTGCCACGCGAGACAGACCGGCATCGCTTTCGTCGGGAAAGGGCGGTTGCTGAGTTGTGCAAGGGAAATCAGCAGACAGCCAGGCACGAAACAGGTCTTCATCCAGAGAATCTGAGCATTCGATGGTGTCCGGCAGCACCGACACGCGCATCGATACCTGCTGCGTGCATCGCCGCGCGCAGTATATTCCCGACACACCAGGGCAGCGGAGCAGATCGCAGCGATAAGCAGATTCGAAGTCATGTTCCTTGTCATCTGCGTCTTTTCCGAACGAGAGCGAAGGACTGCTGGTCCCGCGCAAACGGCGTCTTTGTGAGGCACTTCAAAATTCAAGCTGATGGATGACGGACACCCGACTGCCCGTGCTCATTTGTTCGGAAAAAGGCGAAGGTGGCGTTGTGCGGGTTTCCGGACCGCATCGCGTCACGAGGCTGATAGGAACAGCTTGCACTCGGCATTGTCATCCTCATTCACAGGCTGGAGAGGCGTAGCGCAACAGCGACTGGCAGAAGGCTGTGAATGAGGTCTTGGGGAGCATCCAAAATTTAATTTCTTATCACGCTTCCGTTCCGTGTCTCTGCCTTGCTTCGCCCTCTCTTCACGCCGGGCCCGTGCCGAAGATGATCCAGGAGCTGGGAGCCTGCGCATTCAAATTATCGACGGTAGACTGACCGAGATCCTCGCCATTCCTGGGAAAAACGTCCAAGTAGGTGGGCACAGGCGGTCAGCACAGCTCAGCGTTCACCGCTTGCCCCAAAAAAGTCCCCGTAAAGCAATACCCTTTACACTCACAATCCCAGACAATAGCCCGTGAAGCCGATTTCGGTCTGGCTTAGGTCGCCGAACCCTCCGACGACACTGCAAGATCGGTACCAAGCATCTTTGGGATTGGAAGCCGAGGTCCGTAAAGCTAAAGTGAAATGTAGCATGTCAGACGTGCCGCCTCTTGCATCAAAGCCAGCATACTCACAGTAGATTTTCGCTTGCGCAAAGCCCAAGAAAGTGCAGAGCACGACCGCAATGATAAGCTGCTTAGGAGTCATCGTGTTTGGCGGCGAGCGTTGAGAATCTGTAGGCTATGTTGTGGAGGATGGTCGCGCAAGCAGTCTGAATTCCGCTCACTGAGAAGAAGACGCTATATTGAGTGGGTGCTTGACTGCTCGATCTCTTATACGTCGCATTGGATACGTCTGCATGCAAGGCTCGCTACCCGACGACATTTCAAACTTGAACGAATTGAGACGCAGGACGGCCCTCAGGCTTGAGGGCACGCCCGCGGAAGCTCTGATCCGGCATAATTAAACAGCGCATGGAACGCTCAAAAGGGCCCCGAACCCGGCTCATTGCCTTGTACTTCCCTCTCTATAGTCTCGGCACTGCCATCGCAAATTTCGTCGCCGAACTCGGGTTGAGCGGTTGCTTGCGCCGACTCTAAATGCTTCAATTTCGGTATGAAGAGGTGCAACACAGTCTGTCCGTCGGTTCAATCGTAGGACATCGCATGCCAGACAACATCTCCAAAAGAGCTCCTCTTCGAGGGCACTCCCTCGCTTTTCTCGGGTGCACACGCATTCTCAGGGCGGCGTATTCTGAGCAATGGCGAAGATTCAGCCCGGGTGGCTTGCCTGAAGGTCCTTGACCACGTCTTGACCGTAGTCCTCGTGATTCCTGAGACGATGTTAGAAGAGGCAAGTTCCGTCAGACCATAAAAGTCAGCACGTCTGACCTCACCCAGAAACGCACACATCACCGCAGTACGCATAGCTGACCCCATCAATGGCCGAGAACCGATAGCTTGTATTGGCGTCCGTTCCTGCCTTGGAGTGACAAGAGGCCGTCCAGGCACTTTGTTGACTGGTGTAGTCAAGACAGTTCGGGACTTGAGTGACCTCTGGGAAACGTCGCGTCGCACTGTTTCAGATGCGCGTGCTCGAGCCACTAATAGCAAACAGGAAGAATATTTCTCGACTTACTCCAAAGCTCCTCGGCACGAGCGCCTCCGGCAAAAAACGCTTCATCCACAACGCTGAGAAATATCAGAAGGGTGACGAGCTTGATTGGATTACACATTGTGGTTGATTGGGTGCCAGCACGAGCAAGATGACGTGGTGTCGAGAGGTCTGAGAAGATGTTTCTTGAGCTGGTGGAATTGCTTGGCTCGTCGTGGCTTAGAGCTTGATGGCTGATCCGCGTCTTATCGCTCCGACGATCCCACCACTCGAACACCTGTCTCGTGTGCGAGACAAGATCTTTGGGCGCTTGCTGACTTTTGACTTACACGAGCGCACGTCAAATGACAAGATAATGCGCCTCCGGACCATCCGAGCCGGCGAGGTACCCTGGGGCAGACACGCCACATGTATAGCGCAATTCAGAGCAACAATCAGTATCATGCTGAGTTCCTCGAGAATCGGGGTGCTGTGTGTCTGATTCTCAATTCCGATTTACACGTTGTTCGTCTGCCGTCGATGCAGAGATTCTGGATGCACGCGAAGACCATGGGCCGGATGGACGCAACACTGCTCATTTCATGGTAGACTCCTTTTGAACTCTTATTGGACCGCAGAAGCACGCGGTCACTATCTCGTCTACGCAAAGCGAATGTGATACGAGTGAAAATGGATGGGATTCATGAAGCAAGAACGGATGCATGTAAACGGGTATTTACCTCCATAGGACGCGCGTGCTCGCGCGCACGTGACATCTCCATTTTCGCTGTCTTTAGCGATTGGGGTCCAGCTGCGCGAGGTGCGCGCGAGAGAGGGACACGAGGTGTAGCCGACTTCAAACCTCAGCATTCACCCGAGAAAGGCATGATCAATGGGCACAGAGCGCAAGGGGAATGGGGCAAAAATGTAGGGACGACTCCCCTATCGTCAGAAACATGGTCAGTCGAGCACAGTACGCCGTGTTCTGCGCCTGCACCTTTCTCAGGCCCAGAAGTAAGTCTCGCATTCAGATTTTGCAGCGCACACTGCTGATTGAAAGGAGCCCGAAACAAAACACAGCAATTTTTCGACTGATAAAAGTGCTGTGTTTCATCGAAAGCCATCTTGATCTCGATTCTTGGGTCAACGTTTAGCTTGGCGTATACCGCCCAAGAGAATCAGGGGTTTCCGAGCTTCCAGCCTTTGTGACCGTTGTAATCGAGCTGTGCCTTGGCACTAATGGCACGGTCGTCCCCAGGACTATCGTCAAAGAATCTCGACGGCTTCAGTGGAATTGTGCGCGGATTCGAATGAAGCTGGGGCCAGACTCACGGTCCTGTGCAACGGCATACGAAGTAGCCTGAGCCATCGTTCTTCAGCTCGCCTGCCCCTGAAAGGGCTGTGCAGGCTCCATTCCAAAGCGATTGCATCTCCGCCAGCTGTGTGGCAGGGTTCAGACCCCCGGCCGCCAAAACGGCTGTTGAAGGGATCGGGTTCAGGTCATTTGTCTATGACCACGCAGTGGCCATCCCAAAGATGTCTCGGGATCTACTCACGGTACCATACAATCACAGCCGCTGGAGTCACCACGATTGGTAGAAGGAGCAGGATAAGCAAGTGAGGAAGCATCGTTGAGGGATGTGCAAGAAGTAATGTCGCTTTGAAGCTTCTAAAGATTTGTAGAGATGGTACGGTCTGTTGAGAAGAAATGTTGCTGACTGGAGAAGGGCGAGCAGGGGATACATGTGTGTATAAATAACCAGCCAGCTCACAAGCTTCGCTATAGCAGCAGCCCCTCGACGAGCGCGGGTGGTCTCTCAAAAGAGGTTAAGAACGCCGTGTTACGCGGTGGCCGCAGACCGTCGCACGAACCCCGGTCTGCGCAAAGCGCTTTACACGACTTCACATAGCCTGATGAACAGCTTGTACGAGCAGTGCTGTGTCGATATCTACGTGGGTCCACATACGAGACTGCAAGAAGTGATTAATCTGCTGCGGAAGTGCTTTGTACTTGCGCGGCACCTGTGCCAATCATTTGGCTCCTTCGCCATTCGGCGGTCTCGAGAAAGCAAAGTGCAATGTACCTGGCATTTTTGTGGCGCAATCATTGGACTGCAGACAATCGATACTCACTAGCTGTGCTGCTGGCGAGGCTACGCGTGTTGATATGCTAAGACGGCGTTCCTCTCTGCCTTGGCACTCACATTGCAGGGCTGCATATATAGCGAGCGCGGAATTACATTATTAATTGGTTGACATCGAGTTCTGCTCTACGCCGAGCGCAATTTGGCTCAATCCTAGCTCGCCTTGCGCGGAACCTTTTGGGCATCAAGAAATTTGTTGCACGTGATGGATGCGCCCCTATCCCGTGCGTGCATGTACATGGCCTCTACTGCATGTCACGTCTTGGCAGAGGAGACACCACCATCTCCATGTCACATGAACAACGCATCTTTTACTACCAAGTCGTGAGTATGTCTTCGTCTCGCATGCAGCGGCCGCGACCTTTCTCTGATCCCAACAAAGGGCAGGCGACCACTTGAACGGCCACATCTACCAGCCGCACCGGCCGAGCATGTCTAGAGTAGCGACCACATTGAGCAGGCGTGGGCTTCAAGGCTTGCTTCTTGGCGGGCCGATCTTCCATCCTGGATAGCCGCTTACACCAAGCCTGGCAACTGTGCCAAGTCCAAAGTCCTGGCCACGACTGGATGTTTGCGACTATATGCTCAGCACTGCCGCTTTCTTCCGATAACATAAGCATGCACCACTCTTGATCACTTACGGCCCAGTGCATCGAACGTAAACCTGGCCGATGTTGGTGCTGGTCACCTCAGCTGTGCCTTTAATTTGGTTGCAAGCGGGCGTCCAGATGTGTACAATGTTGAGCTCGTTTCGCGGGTCGTGTCCGCCAGAGGCCAAAAGGTCTGTCGATAAGTCATTTGCATGTGAGTAACAGCATGATTGGAGGAATGCATTCCGACAAACGCCACTTACAGTGCCAATCGACAGCGGCCACCATAGTTGCCAGAATGGCCATCAGCAAAAAGTGACGAAACATCGTCTTGGTCGAGTCTTACGATAGAATGCCGAGCGCTCAGACGAAAGATGTTGAGGGTTGATCGTGCAGCATCACGCAAGAGCAGGTGCTCACGGTGAAGGAAATTATAGTGACGAGAGAGCTTCTTTATAACGTCTTGCGACCAGTCCCATCAGCTTTCGGACATCCAAGCAGAGTGGCTATCGTCAATTCTAAGGCGATTTAGCAGTCGCCGGGGGTTCACTCAGGAACAAGAAGAACCACCGACTGACAGACGAGCGTGAGGCACAGGTCATCGGCGTCGCGGTCCGTGTCAAGAAGGCGTTCAGCTCTACTCGCTTACGATTGATGAATGTAGGAGCATTCCGGATGCTGAGGTGTCAGCCTGCCACAGCGTAGTCGCTCCCTCTTCTAGTACTTCCGGGCGCACAAAGCCAGAATTTGAAGACGCGGTCCGTCATGCGAGCGGCGCTGATTTCTTGCTGTCTTTCTGTCGCATCAGACGCACTATGAGCTGGTGCGACTGATGATCATTTTGGAAGCATCCGTATACGAGTAAATCAATTTCTGGGAACATCAACTCAAAGGGCGTCAATTTGAGCCGTTGATGCTTCATCGCGAGAGGGTTCGATCGGAGGGGGGTCATTTTGCACGGCGTCGAAAACACCTTTATCTGCAGACATATCATGCGTGGACGGCCCGCGGAAGACTGCAACGCAACTTGGCTACGCATTCATCTACCGCTACTCGACGCGCTCGTAGCGCACGTTCCTTGAGGATTTTAAAAGGCACGCCTTTCAGCACGCCGGCAGATCAGTGATCCACCACCAAGGTCCTACGATCGTGCCACTGCAGCATCTGACAAGCCACCTGCCCAGTCCGCTACTGCCCGCTCTTGCTACAGATCGCTTCACGTCCTTTGGCATGCACATCAACATGCTCATGCCTCGCCTCCCCTATGCTGCTGCTGTCATGGCCGCCGTGATGCTGATGGCACCCGCTGTGCTGGCCAAGGAAGAAGGTAAGTGTCTCGCTCGACCGTGCATGTTTCGTTGCTGGCTCATCAATGGCTCCTTCTCGCATGTCGACACCACTATGATCCATTCGCTCGCAGCGCTGTATCCCACGGTATCATGGGATCAAGTCTCCGATGTTTGGGCAAATGAATGCAAGGCAAAGGGAGGAGATAAATCTACGTCAACGTGTCACCAAGTTGCCGTAGGGTATCAAGGTTCCTTGCATTGGTATGGGCAATGTATCGATCAGTAAGTTGCTAAAGACCTCTACGCTGAAGGTTCCAAGCTGAGAGCGGCCTGGTCTGCGGATCATAGGACTGGATGGGACATCACAGGTACGGTCAAGGCCATTCTGGCTTGGTAAAGTGTCACAACCAGTCCCAAGCCCCCTCGTGACAGAATTCAGAACGTCCGCCAGGCGGCGCTGCTTTCCCGAGAACCCAATCAAAGCTATCTATGTGAAGACACGTCAACCGTGAATGCGTCCTACAGATCAAAGTTTCCCAAAGAGACCAGCATACGCCGGCCAAAAAATCCGCATGCCTCGCTCTCAGACCTAGTCTCAATTGCGGAATGCCACAAGCAACCAAAGCACAGACTTCCGATTAGATGTCATGCAGAAACCCTTGCAATCTGAGCTTTAGAGACGATGCTGCATCAGCTTGTTCTTTCTCTTCTTCACCACCATGACGATCATAGCAACCTATTACATTTTGAGAACACGAATTTGCGATGTCTGGCTCGACTCCGAAAGGATACACTCGAGCTACGGTGTGGTGAAATCCGTTGAGTTTTCTGGTTCAGCGCTTCCCCTCTTCATAGCCTTGCGACACTTCCCAGCCGGGATAGCCATGTGCACCAAGGTAAGCCACAGTACCAAGAGCGTAGTCATGTTCTTTATTGTGCGTGTCTTTGCTGTAAGAGCGAAGGCAGGCAAGCGATCGTGAGAAGGATTCAGAAGCATTGTCACGGCAACATGGTTCGGCTCGCGCCACTCACAAAGTGCAGTGGCACACGATCTCCCCAATGCCGTTTGGCTTGAGCTCGCCATAGCCTTTGATGCTGCTACAAGCGTTGTTCCAGCGATAAATCATGAGGTTCAGCTGAGTGGAAGGATCATTGAGATCACCGGCTTTGTTGAGACCTTTAGATTGAAGACAAAGTCAGTACAGTGGAGCGTTGTGTCGCGAGCGCAGCTGAGTACTTACCGTGCCATCTGACGCCGAGAACGGTTGGCAAAGCGAGTACTGCAGCGAAAATGAGTCGCCAATTCATGTTGATTTAGTAGGCTTGAAAGACTATGTAAGCACTTGCTGTGGAGCTTTTGGTCGCAAACTTTTCTGAGCGGGCGAAGGCTTGGGAGGTGATGTGATGATGTGACATGGGCGCGAAACAGTCGCGTTGAAGCTCGCTTCTTGTATACTGCAGATAAGACATAAGTCATCGACCCAGATCTCCAACTAACATGAAAAAGCTGCTGCCCACAGCGCTGAGACTGGTCGAACTTGTGCTGAGAGCGCACAGGAAGAGGCTTGATGCTGAGTGATACGCGCGATGTCGACAAGGTCTGAGCAGAGGGGCAACTACACATCAAGACCGACAGATTACCGGTGCCTGAGCCTGAACAATGCTACTCATACCGAAGAGCAAGCATCAATAGCGAGCGCGATACCATCTGCTCGTCGCAATTGAGACTAGTCAAAGGAGCGGACCGCCGTGTCGAGGACCCACTAGCACGCGGGCCGCCACTGCGCCCATAGACCGGCATTCGCAGAAGAAAGCGCGCAGCGCAGCTAAAGCAGCTTTTGATTGACCCCATGACCGTCTTTGGAGGCAGCACAGACGCAGCGTCTTGCTTCCTTGAAAGTTGATAGACAGCCTATTCTTGATTAGATGCATGGCTCTTGTGCAATTGGGGTCACTATCGGGCCTGGGCGCCATCTTGGAACATCTAGTCGAGCTCTGACAGCATTTCGGCCAGCGCTCGGTGTCGCATGCCCCCGCTTTTCGAGGAGCTCGTCACCGGTCACGGAAATCGGCTCTTGCTGAGCTTCGTGTGGAACTCGAGCTTCGCCAGCGTGTTCTCGCTGTCGTCTGCATTCACGAATATCAGCGCTCTTTTCATACCATGCCACGCCATGACGAGCGAACAATTGGCAGTTCAGGTCACCTTGTGTTTGCGCTTCTCAGGCTTCTCATTGCTCAGAGGATTGCGCAGACTGAAACCCATGCATTTTTTGCAATTGGCTGTCTCGTCGGAGAAGAGTGTTCGGAGGCTGGCGCGTGATTATAAACACGCTGACGCGCGCGCGCGTGCCTCGATCGTGAATTTAGGGAGGATCCACTCTTACTGCCGAGTCGCGAGTGGAGGACTTGCGCACACAATCGCATGCGCGTGATGCGCGTCATGTCACCTTCTAAGGTGCTCGACTGCGTATGCCTTCACCAGAGTTCAAAGCCGTCACGACCCTTGCTCTTCCAGTACTGCACGACATCATCGGCGAGGTCGTGCTTCCCGTCGCTGAAGTGACGCGGGGACGAATCGTAAGTCTTTGCTCTCATCGCGTCGCAACATCCGCGTGTAGCTGGCTCACCGGCTGGCGCAGTACACCTCCACCTTGCCATCGACCAGCTCAAAGACTGGCTCGATGCCCTCCATAGCATTGCAAGCCGTCGTCCAGAGTATTGCAGCCCAGTCAAAGTCTTTGGGCTTGCGCAGATCCAGGTCACGAGGGACATTCTTCAATACTGTAGCACAGGAAGAGACATGCAATGGTGAGCGCAGTCGCCGCCGTTGAAGCGCCAAAGCGACTCACCGTGTCTTTGAGGTGGGCAATGTATCATGCAGCGATTTGCAGGAGGTGCTCCAGGCAGAGGAGAGCCAAGAGGTACAGCGGTGGCCGCACCAAACAGAAGGGCGAGCGAAAGGAGAGGTGCTGGAATCATGATGTCAGTTGAAGGGGTGGATGAGACTGCTTGGGAAGATGTGCTCTGCCAGAAACAATACGGCACTTTGGAGAGGTGTGGTCGAGGGGACTGACGGAGACCATGACGCAAGACGTTTTTTACTTGCTGTCGACGCGCCTTTGCTGACACGACAATTTCTCACGTCTGGCAGCGCGGAAACGAAGCGTCAAGATTAGCATATAGTCAATCGACACGCCAAGTCAATCGACACGCCAAGGACATAATACTAGTGCGCCATTGTTGCGCCCTCCGACGCAGACGCTCTGGTAATTCCTCTCAAGCTGTATTGGCAGCGTTCAGAATCTAGCATTCATGGTTCGTTCAATTCACAAGACGTCCATTGTGTTTGGAAAAGACACGCATTCAGCACTTTGACTTGGCCGATTGCTGGCGTTGGCTCCTGTCAAAAGTGTAGTCTCGCTGGTGTCTTCGGCTTCGGCCAGCTGGTGCAACTTGGCATTTACCAGCTGATGCAGGTTCTGCAGTCCTTTGTTCTATCGAGGACCGCGCTCTTTGGATCTCTGGACGTCCAGCACGGCGGCAGATCGTAAAGAGCACGCGCACGCGTCAAAGGGGCTGCTGTCGAGAACACGCGCAGTTGCGACTGCCGGCGCAACTCACTGATCTGTGCACCATCCGTACCAGCCTTCACTCGCTGTGCCTTGGTATCTGTACAGAGCGTTGCCGGTGGCCAAATTTCCGCCGACGCCACGGCAGCAACCTTTCCAATGGCGTACGATATCACCGGCCGAAAGGAATTTCTCCGGATAGATGCCTGAGGATCGGGATCAGAAATGAGTGCGGTATACCACTTGTCTGGCGAAGTGCATGGAGACTGTCTCACGCTGCTCTTGGTTGGGAAGCTCATCGGTCTGGACTCCTGGCTGGATTGCGAGGAGACCAACGACGATGGCGACCAAGATTCTGGCACAAGCAAGCTTGACGGTCATGTTGATGATCTGTGGTGCGATGAGCGAGCTCAAAGAATTGTCGCAGCCTCGCAGCGAGTATACCGCAGTAGAGGATTGGATGGTCTGGACGATGTGAGAGCTCGCTGGACAAATTTAAAGGACCGCTCAACGATCCACATCAGTCTGACACGGCAAAAGCGAGGAATATAGCCAGTTGCAGCAGGCAGTCTCGATTCCCTTTCAGAGAGACGTGTAATTGACCTCGCGCTCAGGACTCATCTTTATTTGTGTCGCTCGGCGGCCCGCGGAGCGACACATCGGTCTACCACGGACTATTGCCATGCTTGAAGACAACGACACGCCCCTCCACCTCCACTGCCAGCGGGTAGGCGTTTGGATAGAGCAAAAGCATCGCGCACCCAACAAAGCTGCCCTGTGAACGACTATTGCAGCATCTTGATGTCTTCATCGAGTTCCTTCCGCGCTCAAAGCTCCGCATGCAGCAAGTCCGGGAAGGATAACATGTCGCAATATGTGTTCCGCCGAGCGAACATGCTCCGCGGCTTTCCCGAGGTGGGCAAGTGATGTTTGCGCAGTCCGCATTACGCGGCGACATCCGCGTGCAGCCAGCAGGACGTGCAACAAGCAGCAATCAAGCAACGAACGCACTCGTGAAAGCGCTGGCCTTTTGCGACTGTTGCGCACTATCACGCACATTGTGCCGCGGTAACAAAACGTTACACCGCGCGTGCTTCATCTCGAGCGAAACGGCGCGGGGGAAGTCAAAGTCTTTGGGGTGCAGTAATGGGTTCGGTCTGCTCACCCAAGACCCTCGAAGAAAGATGCGTGACCCATCAACCCTCGCAATTGTGTAGCCGAGGACGAGAAATCATGATTGTCTTCACGTGATTGAAGACCGAGATGCGACCTCTTGCGTGGGATTTGCATGCATGAGAGGAGCTATATAGCGCCGCACTTCGTGTGGAGGTCTAGGGGAGATAGTGCACGCTCGCATTTGCAGATTGCCTTTGATGACACTCGCGACTCTGTTCATCGCGTCGCAATCACCGTGTCTCTGGACCTTACATGGTCGAGGTGATTGGAAGTGGATGAGGAGCAAATTACGTCTTGACAGCGACAAGTCGCGCTGAGTCTGCTCCAGTCCGAGACATGTATCACGTCCATGCCTCTTCGAGGAGCTTAGTAGGGCATAGCAGGCAGAGTAGTCTACCAGCCCAGACGATCCGCGACGTCTTGCGAAATATCTTGTCCCTCGCTGTGGTATGCGTTTGAGCAAGAGTCAGCTGAGTCCGACACGAGCGACATCTTCTGTTACGTCATTGAACGCTCCAAGCCCCCCCTACTTACTCGTCGATGCAGTATGCAAAGACCTTCTTCACACTCGAGTCATACCACAGGTCCCACTTTGCGGTTTGTCCGCCCATCAAAGCGCAATCTTGATGCCATTGCGCTTTCTGCGCGTCGCCGTGACCCCTGTCACGGACCTCTGCAAAGCATACGAAGGACGTGTAAAAACGTCATTCAGGTCAGCAAAACGTTTTGGTTCGTCGTGCAATGTTCGCGATACCAATCCGCAAGGCACTGGCCGACGCATAGCACTCACCCACATTCGCAAGGGCCACCGGAAGAGCAGAGAAAGCGGCAATGACGAGTACTGCCGCGAGGTTCAACGCGCTGTTAGGCTTGGAGAAGAGCATTCTGAGAGCACTTTCGGTGGTTTGGGAGCAATTGGGTGTGCTTGGATTGTCTGATATGATAGTGAAATTCGGTGCTGTGAGAGAAAGGAGGGCAGCAGCGTGTGCGAGTCAGCTTTATATAGAGTCTGGGAGACGAACCTCACCGCATATTTCACATAGCTGCGATGCTTCTAGAACGGCAAAGATTACCTGGGCGCTACATCGACGATGAGATTGGAGTCGTGGCAAGCAAGCAAGCAGCCACGCAGTCAATTTCGAAGGCGATGTGACGCATTCTTGTGATTGTCGCACCGAGTTGTATGCGACAGAGCTTTGGATTTGCGCGGACAGACAAAGCCGGGCGCTCGTCGTGGTGTTGGTGTGCTGCGAAGGTCTTGCATTCGCTGTGGGACGCTGCGCTTGAACAAGGCGTCCAAATCCCAGTTCACTCCATACAAAAGTTGCGAATTGCAATTCTTAATGGCTACACGGACCGAGCGAGCGGAGCTGGCGGGCCGTTGATCCTGCGCAGACAGATGCGAGGGGCTGTCTCTACTACGGTGCCTGTCTGCATGGGCCTCAGCCCCAAGCGATTGCAGTCGGTCTTGGCCGTGGCTGCATGGAGAGCAGCAAAGGCGATGGAAAAGCAGGCTGTGGGGAGAAAGAAAGAAAGGTCTTCGATGGGCTGTGTGCGCTGAGCGTATCCAGCACATAGATGCTGCTTGCTGCAGACCTCCTGCTGCACCATTCACAGCTGACGGTATTTGGCACTGACGCACACAAGACAGCCATGACGTCCAAGACTCTTGGCGCGATCGCCATCTCCTTTGTGGCAATGATGAGCTTCATCCATGCTCCACGTTGCATAGCTCAGCATCCAAACGGCATCCGTGAGTCTCTGGCCCAAGGTACGCCTCTTGGCGAGAAGGCAAGGCGACGACCAGAGCTTGGCTGACCCGCGTTATCGCGCTTCTTGACTGTGTCCTGCTCGTTCGGAAAGGCGTGACGTGCAATCTACCCGAATGGCAAGGACGCAAAACGTGGAGCACTGAATGCAGCAAACAAGGCGGTTTCGGCTCCCAAACCGACTTTTGGGGCGTTGAGAGCACGCGGACGTACTATGCGTTCTGTGCCGAAGCTGCGTGAGTTGCAGGTCGCTTCCCTTCTTGGACCTCGGATGGGATGGACGCAGCATGGCTGTTGCACGGTCCTGACTCGAATATTGACTCCCACGGAATCTGTCTGGGGCATATCGAACTCTTCTGCACGAAAGAGGCGGTTCCATCATCAGCGAAAAGGTCAAGAACACCCTGGGGTGGTGATCGATCCGAAATGAATGCATACATACCGCTCCAGCAGCGCGGCTCGCTCGGGCGGTCCAATCGCCCATTGCTCTCGCAAAGCCCCAAAGCTACACTCATGAAGGCCTTCCATCCCGAGCAGCACGCATGCCCACCAAACGAATGTGATGAACGACACAAAAAAACGCATCAGAATCGGGCGGCCCCCCCCCTCACTCCCTCCAAATCAAACTTGTCTCGATGTAAGCTAGGCAGACCCAAGGGTCACACTCGCTTTTCCGCAAGTATGCACAACTCGAGGGCGCAAGCGGGACCCTTTCACTACCACCGCCGCGTGCCAAAGGTAGCGAGTGCAGAGAGGCGGGGTTGCGCGCAGGGCCGAGCCGTTGCGGGGCGTAGAGCCAAGGTTGGTGAGGAACTTTTTCAATCCACGCCATCCTCCACGCAGCCCCCCCCCCCCCCCCCCCCTCTTTCCCTCGCCTGTCCATAGTCCTCCCACCCCACTTCACCCATTCTCACAATCTGACTACCACCACACAGCAACAGCAGAGTGGTCCACTGCGGGGGGGCGGGGCAAAAGGGCGCTCACTGCGCTGCGCTGCGCATCCCTCACGTCCCTAGCTTGCCTTGCCCTGCGAATCCCTCACGTCCCCAGCTTGCCTTGCCCTGCCCTGCCCTGCCCCCGCAACCAGCTTGGCTGGCCATAGCGATGACCAAAGGGCAAAACAAGCCTTTGCATGCACTCTGCTCAGCCTGGTCTGGCCCAGCATGCGCAGCAGAACATCAGAGCCAGCACGGAGGCCTGCACGAAGTGCCAGCTTGATGTTCAAGTGGTTGGCGTCGTCGGCTCGTGAAAGGGGAAGCCCTTTGCAAAGAGATCCTACGTTCCTCGTCTGTCAAGACACGTTGTATTCTCGTGTGCAAGGCGAAGATGCTCTACAAAAAGAAGAGACTCAAATCGCGTTTCGCAACATCAAAGCGCCAAGCTGTGGATGAGGATGATGATGAAGATATCAGGGCGCGCGGGAGAGGGGAATGTCAGCTCACTTGTATCTTTCCTTGCT